AGTATGTGATTGGCCAAGGACAGAAAAGTATGCAGATATTTGTTTTCCATGACTTTTCCAAAACTTTGTGGGTTTTTCTGTTTTTCCAAAACTTTTCTAGGCCTGGAAAAAGCCATGTCAAAATTTTAGGACTTTTCCTGGTTTTCAATGACCATATGAAGCCTGTTAAGACAACATTAGAACATGTTTGCTTTAATTGCTGGGAAAACTATACAGTATAATTGAGCTTTTGTCAGCTAATTTCATATTCCGGTTTAAAATCAGTACGAGGCAGGATCAATTTCTGTGACGTAACACTATCTGCCAATCCAGTGATGAATAGGGCCAGACGGAATCTGCGGACATTTTTTGTGGAGAATTTAACATCTTTTTAACTTTTATTTAATGTTTAAAATGCAAATCCAGTTAGATTAACTTTAATTGGGTAAACAAAGCAAGTCTCTCAGATAATATCTCTACTAAAAGACAGAAAATATTACTTTACAAACTGTATTGTACATAAATCTTATGAACAATTTCACATTAGTCAATGATATTACTGTCATTTATTTAAAAACTGAATAAATATAGATTTACATACGTTTACTCAAGTAAATAAACAGAATTAATTATGGGCTAAAAATCTGAGGAAATCTGTGAAAAATCTGCGGAATTCTGCGCGCGCAGATTCTGTGTGGTTCTAGTGATGACGTGTCGGTTTCTCATTATTATTCATAGCCGAGTTGTCTTATTGTAAGCTTTCTTATCATGCTTTTTAATTATTCACGACAGCACGTGCTTTCCAATCACAGACACAAATAAACAGACTGCAAGACGGCGCGCAAAACAGTTTTTATAAATAAACCCATCATGTAGCATTTTTTTAAAGGACTTGAACTGAAAGAGGGGGGTTTCAGGACCTCTTAAAGTGCAATTTTATAGACTTCACTTGGTTAATTAGGTAAACTGGGCAAGTTATGGCAATAAGCAAATCATTGTAAAACAGTGGTTTGTTCTTTAGACAATCAACACAAATATTGCTTAAGAGGGCTAATAATAAAAAGGTTAATAAACAAAATGTTTTTTTTTTTATTTAATACTGCTTTTATTCTAGCTGAAATAAAACTAATAAGACTTTCTCCAGAAGAAAAAAATATTATAGGAAATACTGTGAAAAATTCCTTGCTCTTTAATACATCATTTGGGAAATATTTAAAAAATAAATAAATAAATAAAATTCACAGGCTAGTCATTTTGACTTCAACTGTGCACAGATATCACTTTATACTGCATATTATATAACTAAAGGTTATAGTTATACTTGACCGCTTTACACTCAACAACTCTTTCAGATTTTGATTAGTGCCATCTGCGGAGTTTGCATGACCTCCCCATGTTGGCATGGGTTTCCGCCGGGGGCTCCGGTTTCCCCCACAGTCCAAAGACATGCATTGTAAGTTAATTGAATAAACTAAATTGTGTGTGTTAATGAGTGTGTATGGATGTTTCCCAGTACTGGGTTGCAACTGGAAGGGCATCCGCTGCATAAAGCATATGCTGAAATAATTGGCCGTTCATTCCATTGTGGCGACCTCTGAAAAAGAGACTAAGCCAATGGAAAATGAATGAATGTATTGTAACCAGTTGAGAAGTAATGACACATCTCTGTTCAAAGTATTGACGTTCAGAATTGCGCCAGTGTAAGCCAGACGGGGTAGCAAATCCCTTAAAATGTGCAAATTACAAAAGCAGCGAGGAACAATACATGTCAAGGTTGCTTGTTGGCAGGCACAGCTTTCTTTGTGTTTGACGGTTCTCCTTTCTGTCAAATAACTTTCCAACAGAGCCGTCAACAGAGCCAGAGGTGGAAACAACAGAAGCATGTCATTGCAAACAACAATCTTCCAAGGTGAACTTGCCATTTGTCAGATAATAGTTTCCGGGAGCAATTTGCACGCTAAATATTTCATTCCGCCCCTGTTTTATTAATGTACACTTATGTTTAGCTGCAGGCGCCTTCCCTTTAAACCGTTCATTAAAGCAAAACAGTCATTAAACAGTTTAAGCACATATACACAACCAACCAAACACATCTGCTTTATTTATCATCATCAAAGATCCATCGCTCTAAGATAACAACAGAAAAATACACAATCATTTATCACTGTGAATTAGACTTTTTAAAGGAGTTAATGTTGCGTTACATACTGCGCAATTAATTAACATTCTCTTTACAAAGCACCATTTTCACTGAAAACACCTCAGGCTGGAAATAATGTGAATCCATAATGGGAGAAAGCAATCGGCCACTTTATTAGGTACACCTTTCTAGTACCAGGCTGGACCCACTTTTGCCTTCAGAACTGCCTTAAACCTTCGTGGCATAGATTCAACAAGGTACTAGAAAAATCCTCAGAGATTTTGGTCCATATTGACATGATAGCATCAAGCAGTTACTGCAGATTTGTTGACTGCACATCCATAATGTGAATCTCCCATTCCACCACATTCCAAAGGTGCTCTATTGGATGGAGTTCTGGTGACTGTGGAGGCCATTTGAGTACAGTGAACTTACTGTCATGTTCAAGAAACCATTCTGAGATGATTCATGTTTTATGACATGCCATGTTATCCTGCTGGAAGTAGCCATCAGAAGATGGGTTCACTGTGGTCAGCAACAATACTCAGGTAGGCTGTGACACGATCACTGACACGATGCTCAATTGGTACTAATGGGCCCAAAGTGTGCCAAGAAAATATCCCCCACACCATTACATCACCACCACCAGCTTGAACTGTTGATACAAGGCAAGATGGATCCATGCTTTCATGTTGGTGATGCCGAATTCTGACCCTAGCATCCGAATGTCGCAGCATGCATTGAGTTGCTGCCATGTGATTGGCTGAAATTCGCGGTAAAGAGCAGTTGAACAGGTGTACCTAAGAAAGTGGCCGGTTAGTGTATATTTCTCTGAAGCACTGTGTAAAAGGCACCGGTCATTATTGCAAAATGCAGCTCACAGTGACACATTAAGAGAAACGCTTGTTTGAAAGAGAAAGTATCCCTGCATGTGTGTGTGTGTGTGTGTGTGCGAGAAACAAATGACTCTCAAGCACCCATTAAAGGCCTGGGTCTCAGAGTGATTGCGTACTTTGATTTTTTTTGTGTGCCTTTGAAAGGCAACAGCAATGCAGATGGTCAAAGCCATTTCCAATCTGCTGCTAGATTCTAATGCTAATATAAGTTGTACATTTGCCACTTGTAGTGTAAATGTTCAGTGCAAAATGTGCACACTGATTTAATGGCACTTCATAACAGCCCAGTCAAAATACACAGAAACGATCATCATCTTTCTGACAAATGGAGGAAGCGGTCAAAAACATGCTATTTCTTAGAAAATGTGTGGCCATTTTCGATAGTTGTCGAGGTCACATGAAGACAGGGCAATGTAACCCTTCCTAATGGAAAGTGGGATTCGGCCAAATAAAAGTTACTAGTAGCAGCTGGCAATTTCCCAGAGCACTATGTCAAAAAAACTGATGAAACCCACTGATGGAAAGATATTACATTTCTCATCCAAGTTCAATTTCACCACAGGCGAAAATATATAAAAATACATCGAATTCATAAAGAGAAGAAGGTGAATTCTACAATCATTTTGCTGCAAGTGACTCATAGTACTGATAAAATAAATTATTCTGTGGCTCATTTTTCACATTATAAATGTGGTTTGCCAGTAGAAAATTTCTAAACATCCTTAAAACAACATTTAATGGCCAATGATAGCAGAGTGTTGTGAATGATTTCATATATATATATATATAATGATTTATTTTATATTTTATTATTATTTTTAAAATAATAATAATTTATTATTTTTAATTATTGTTATCATTATTGCTATTTTCTTTCTTCCAGAAATCAGTATATACACTACCTGACAAAAGTCTTGTTATTGATCCCAGTTGTAAGAGCAACAAATCGACTTCTGGTTGATCATTTGGAAAAATGGCAGAAGAAAGATTTTTCTGATGGATCATCTGTTGAACTGCATCTCAGTCATCACAAATATTGCAGAAGACCTATTGGAACCCACATGGACCCAAGATTCTCATAGACATTTGTCAAGTTTGGTGAAGGAAAAAATCATGGTTTAGGGTCACATTCAGTATGGGGGTGAGCGAGAGATCTGCAGAGTGGATGGCAACATCAACAGTCTGGGGTATCAAGACATTTGTGGTGCCCATTACACTACAAACCACAGGAGAGGGCAAATTCTACAGCAGGACAGCGCTCCTTATCATACTTCAGCCTCCACAACAAAGTACCTGAAAGCAAAGAATGTCAAGGTACTACAGGATTGGCCAGCCCAGTCACCAGAAATTAACATTATTGAGCATGGCTGGGGTAAAGTGGAGGAGGCATTGAAGATGAATCCAAGAATCTTGATGAACTCTGGGAGTCCTGCATGAATGCTTTCTTTGCCATTCCAGATGACTTTATTAATAAGCGATTTGAGTCATTGCAAAGATGTAGGGATGCAGTCTTCCAAGCTCATGGGAGTCAAACACAATATTAATTATTTTTCCACTGCACCATGACTTTGTATTCTATACTGTACATTATTTTTGTACAGTGACAAGAATTTTGTCTAAGCAAAGTCAGACATTACTGTTCTAATTAAAAATCAAGGAATGATCATATTTTATTTTGGTAAAATAAGCGTAATCGTAGGCCTTTGTCTTTAGTATAAGCCACTTCTGATGCCATAGATCAACTACAGTACAAGCAAAGTTATTATTTTTTGTTCCTAAAACTTGGATAGGCAACAAGACTTTTGTCAGGTAGTGCATATATATATATATATATATATATATATATACACATTTGTCTGTGTGTGTGTGTCTGTGTATACAGATGTTGTAATGTATGGATGGTTTTTAAAGGTGTATGATTAATTATTTGTGTGTGTGTACAATTACATACATGTATCATTGAATCATTTGCTTTTCTAAGCTTA